CAAATATCTCAAAAACGGTACCATAAAATTAAAAATAACCTTGATTTTCGGAATCAGGGGGTGATTTTACATACGAATTTCATAACGGCGTCTCTGGTAAATTTTGGCCGTCGACCAGTGTATTTAGTTATAATTACCAAGATTTGGTTATAGTGACCAAGTGGAATAGTTGGATATGGCGAAATAAATATCTAGTTCACGAAATTCTGCAATTTACTTGAAACTTCTAGTTGTGACAAATGTATATTTGTTAATAATTACAAAACGACTACCTTGAGTGGACAATATTGTTAGTTGAATAAAATCATTGTTGAGCAAATATAAACAAAGCTTTGGTTGATATAAGTTTTCAATTAATTTTGTGAACTTGCTGTAGACGTTAATCAGCTAACCGTTTATCATTGGAAAAAAATTTTCAGTTTGACACAAATAAAAATTTACTCGATGGTTGTTGTGTTTACTTTCTTCTTTTATTTGCATATATTAAGCATAAAAATACATACATATTTACATAAATAGTTACTAGTGTAAATAATACATATGTATATGGTGGTAAGAATTTCCTAAAAAGAAACGATGAAACAGGAACAGTCGTGCGAAAACCCAGCTCAGTATCTGCTGGAAGTGCTGGTTTAAGTATACTGCTTTGCTTTTTCCTTGGCTAAATAGATACTTTCAAATTTTAATTCACATGAATTATGTATCCACTGAGAAACCCCGGTTGGCATCAAACTTAATATTTTTAAATAACTATGCGCACACCGAAACAACTCGTGGCGATGGCAAAACTGAAACTGAGACAAATAAGCAGAGCAGCACACACTTTTCTTTCTCTACCTAGCGCAGTGATCGACATGCCATAGCTTACTGAGCGCTCTGTGACCACACGCGTGTTTCACCCATATCCGAACAGCGGTAGCGGAGCAATGATTTCCACGCACGCAGTCTCATTCATTGAATCGTTTTTATGCAATGGTCGGCAAACTAGCGCATTGAAACGATTCAATAAGTGGGACTGTGTGCATTGCTCAGCTGGTGCTCTTCGTATGTGAAACACCCATGGGCTCAGAGAGCGCAGGGGTGGCTCACAAGCATGAATATGTTCCGTCTCAAACCAAATCGTGGTTGCCTCAACTAAGATTTGGTAACTATGACTAAACCATGTGTTGAAAAAAAGCTTATCTGTATTAGCAGAGCTTAATGACATCCTTTTATGAACCATACGTTTAGTTCAATGGAATTTGTAGAAATATGCTTCAAAAAAATATTTATTAGTATTTACCAAGCCCTTCAACTAAATTAACGATTTGGTACAACCTAGATGAATATTAGAATCTTTAACATATTTAGTTATAATTACCAACCCATGGTAATAGTTCCCAATCCTTGGTAATAGTTCCCAAATATTGTCGAAATTCGGGAACTAAACATCTTTAGTTGTCAAAACTAATCCTTTTTCTCAGTGCAGCTCATCGTTCCATCGTCTGCGGTACTCGTCGTCGCCAACGAATACTCCAAGAGCCGGCCCATCGGATGTTGTCATTGTCCGTGCTTCTGCGCCATATACCAGCACGGCACGACCCAGAAAATAAAGGGCTAACCCTCTCTTCGTCAATTTGACAGCATCCACCCAATCGCTGACGTCATAAAATACTTTTGTTTACTTCTTTTTGGTTGTTTGTGTTTCCGACAGGGTAGGAGTATGATGTATTGTGGAACGATTTTCCGTCATCCCTGGTCAAATTTGGTTTGGAGACAAACCGGTTTCTGCGTTGTGCCATCTTCAGTGTCATTTTTCGTTTTGGATAGTTCGTGTTTCCCTCCGATTTTTATGTATTCGTGTTACTGTCTGTTTTAACTGTCATTAGGTCATGCATACCCATCTAAGTGCGACCGCTTTTGTTTCATTATCTCACAGGTAGGTGCTTTTTGGTTGCTTGTATTCGCCGGCGGGTAGGTTGCTTGCTTGTGCCGGCAGATAGAAATCCGTTATTTTCATTTTCTTGGTCTCTGCGGCGTAGGTATGTATCTTCGCGTTGGCATTTTTTTCATATTTTTCGTACAACATCTTGAGTGGTTCGAATATTACATCGGATACGGTGTTTGTTTGTTCGTTTATAATTCTCCCTTGAAATGTTCTCTGCTTGTATATCTCCATGTTTTCCAATATGTTCAAACGCCGTCCTTTATGCTGTACGTGGAGGAGTTTGGCTGCCTTATTAACTTTCATTGGTGTACATTTATTTTCGAACATATGATTTGCGATGTTTGATTCTGGTGTGACAAGGGATGACGGAAAATCGTTCCACAATACATCACTTTCGTTTACATTCACTGTTGCCAAATTGATGCTTTTCGCACCAAATTTAGTCGGTATTTAAAACGCGACAAATTTTGAGTTTGGGGCTTGGTGCGGTTTTGGTGCTTTTGTTTTTAGTTTGAAGACACGAAATTAGAAAATCTTAAGAAAATGGAAGCAAAATTTATGGCAATCGTAAGTGTGGTGAGCAACTTTACAACAATTTACACAAAATAATTGGAACAGTGACAATCATAAGCGGCAACAAAATATGTGGCAGCACCTTAAATCATGCCAGAAGAAATCGACAGACGTGCAAGAAACATTGATTTTTATTAATTTGGATCGGCATCCTTACAATAAAATTATGTATGCATATAAAGTCCATAAAATACACCAATAAAAATTTGGTGCTTTTTCAAATTCAAAACTTGGCAATACTGCCTTTTGTTCGATGCTTCCTCTTTTTCTTGTCGAGTTCGTCTTGCTCTCATTCTGGTATTTGTTGACGTCACGGCCAGTTGCTCTCAGCTCGATTGGCACACTCTTTTATTCTATCATTCTTGCCAGCACGGGCATGATGAGTGACTTATAGAGTGTGGTTTTCGTACGTCGGAAGAGGTCTTTGCTCCTGAACTGCCTACTCAGTCCAAAGTAGCACTTGCTGGCAAGAGTGATTCTGCGTTGGATTTCTATGCACCTTGCCCTGATGGTCACATATACTCATTTACGTTTTATCGTCCAACAATAAAAAAAAAATACTGGAAAATTATGCAATTGAAAAAAAAAATTTGTAAAAACCAGTGTTAGCTGTTCAATAAATTACTATAGGTGACCTTAGGGTCAAGGTGTAGGAGTAGTATATTCTTGGATTGAAGTCAGAAGTCCAAGCCTTAATTTAAGCCGAAGTTGAAGGTTCTACCACCTTTTGCTTAGTTGCGGTAGATACTCTAACTTCCCTTAATCAGTTTCTCCTGTTCACCAAATGACTATAAGTGACCATCAAGCAAAGGTACGGGAATTTGCAAGGATAGTAGTCGAGATTTTTAGCTTAAATCTAAGTCTAAGTGGAAGGTTCTCCCACCCTTTTCTTCTTTGCTTGAACTTCTCAAATATTCCAAAAGACGCAATTTTTTGACATTTTGACCTCGTTTTTCCTAAAATCTGGAGCTGATGGAAACTTTACGCGTACGGATTCGTAATCAGCACAAAAAAATTTGTCAAAAATAGCGTCAATATTTGCTGCATCAATTCTTTTTTATTTTTGTTGGCCTGTGCAATAAGTATTGTTAAATAGCGAATGCTCGCATGTTTGCGGCGCTTTCAAAAACCTTTCGAACTGTAAAACAATAACACAATTCTATTCTACGCATATCTATAATACGGGTATCGAATTTCAAGCACGTCGCACCATAAATAAGATTTTTTCCAATAGTTCGGTATCTGGCCCATCTATCCGAAAAAATTTCCTATATGTTAATCCTGGCTACCTACTACCTAGCTACCTACGTGCCGAATTTCAAGCAAATGGGACCATAAATATGACTTTTTCGAATAGATCGGTTCCTGGTCCACTTAACGGAAAAAATGTATCCTATATGCTAATCTAGGCAAAAGGTTACCTACGTACCAAATGCATTTTTTTTTTGCGTAGCTTAAACCCTGGAAAATTAAACTTTGTGCACTCCTCCTTGTAAACACCTTTCCAAAAACGCAGCAACCATTCGAATCGGTTATGAAACATAGGACAAAACTTTTCGCGAACGAAGGAAGAGAATACGCTTGATACGTGCTCGAGGAAGTGTGATATTCATTGTAAATTTAATATTTTTAACTAAAAGTATTTAACAAATATAAGTTTTTTGGAAAAATGTAGAGTTTGCCAATTCTATTGAACTTGTACTACGGCAACTATTTCGGATTGGGATTACACCCGCACCACATTCACCGGCATCGCCGTCACAATGAACCGGCTGGTTCAAATGTTCTTGGCTATACACTGCCGCTGTCGGCCGCTGTGGTGTAGTGGTAAGNGTGTATTTCTGCCATGAAAAACAGCTTCTCATAAAAATACAATCGCCGTTCGGAGTCGGCGTAAAACTGTAGGTCCCTCCGCTTTGTGTGACAACATCAAGGCGCACGCCACAAATCGGAGGAGAAGCTTGGCCAAACACTAACATATGTGTAAGCGCCAATCTATTATTATTATTATACACTGCCGCTGAGCTTAGTAAATCGTTTAGGTGAACGCCCATTGAGTCGCCGGGGCCGCCAGGGTGAAGGTAAATTGTCGGTAGTAGGAAAAGATGGTTTACAAGTGTGTATGGATGTGGCACAATTCAAGCCAAGGGAGCTGTTTCTGAAAGTCTTTGATAACAGCATTGTTGTCGAGGGCAAGCACGAGGAACGAGAGGATGAGCACGGGTTCATTTCACGACACTTTGTCCGTCGATATGCACTACCAAAGGGCTATAACGCCGACAATATAGTTTCCACGCTATCATCAGACGGAGTTCTAACAGTCAGTGCTCCTAAGCCACAGGAGGAAGCATCGAATGAACGTGTTGTACAAATTCAACAGACTGGTCCAGCTCATTTGAATGTTAAACAAAATGCAGAGGAGAAGATCGGAGATGCCAACGGAGAGGCTGAACAGAAATAAATCGTGGCCAAAAGTTTGAAATACAACACATATATAGTATACATACAATACATACATTCATACATATTTTAAGTCATTCCGTATGTGCATTTTATATTTTTAAGGCGTAATTTTCAAAATTGCTATTTATGAATTTGTTCTACTTAGTATACGCATTGTAATTGAATTTCTTAAATTTTACTTTATCTAATGATATATGAATTAAAAAAAAAATAAAAGTTACAAAAACGAAAAAAATGTATCCCAATTGATTATGATCACAATGAATTTCACAATTATCCTAAATTTTCCAAGCTTCACATCATAAAAATCATGCGATAAAATGCAAAACTTCGTCGAAAAAAATCCTAATTTTTCGCGTTATTCCGGATTTTTCCGAGTTTTTCACTTAGAATTTTATATTTTTCCATTCGAAAGCCATTCAGAAGGAATTGCACAAAGAATTCCATACAAAAAAATCCATTTTAAAATTTTCCGATTTCCCGACTTTCCCCGAGGGTTTTCCCAACATTTTTTTTTTCGTAAAAACTAGGGATGTGCCGGGTATCCGGTAGATATCCGGAATCCGGCCTATCCGGCCGTTTTTTGGTTATCCGGTTATCCGGCCGGATACTGGCTAATATCCGGCCGGATTCCGGATATCGATTATAGAAGATTCAATTTAGAAATTTAACCCAGATTTTGTATTTTTGTAATCCTATTTAATAGTATCTAATTAGTAATCAAAGTTAACAATTTGTATATTTTTCATTATGAAAAAAAGCATTTCCGCATTATCGGGCAACAACCTATTTCTATTTTCAACATAAATGTTACCCGATGCACTAAATACTCTTTCCGAGTTCACTGAGGAAGGTGGCGCGAAGAGATACTTCATTGTCAGTGTAAACAAATTTGGAAATTCTTTGCAGCTATACTTCCACCAAGTTAAGGGATCTTCTTGTCTGGATATAAGAGGTAGCTGCAAATATTTCTCTATTTCTAGTTCATAACGTACGTTCGCTGCCTTGTCTACCAATCGTTTGGCTATCCATATCACTAGAAACACTAGAATCAGCATCAGAGCCGTTGGCGATTTCTTCAAAGCTGTATGTGCATGAGAAATTTTTGACAGTAAACTGCCGGCGTGCGTGGATATTAGGTTGGCCTGTAAGTTGAGTGTGACGTGTCCTTTCGTTTACACTTGCGAAAATAGTCGTGTTTTCTTTGGTTATTGAGCTCAGTATCAGTAATTTTTTACTATTAGCACCAGGATTAAGAAGTTTTAGAAATTACCTCACTAAATGGGAAAAACTTATATTTAGACGAGATAATATTCATTTAAATAAATATTTAACATAAAGGCGATTTATTTGAAGCAAGTTAAATGAAACAATGGCAGAATGTCTGTTTGTCTATGAATTCATTTGTCACTGAAACCAAACTGTGCAGCTAAATTATCAGTGAAACAAAAGAAACAGAACGGATAATAAATTGAACCAGATCTGCATCAGGATCATATCGTTGTTGTTGAATTTGCGTGCTTCAGTTTATCAGGTTTATTCAGTGAAATCGCTGAATAAATTTATCAGAAATGAGTAAACGAGTTTCCATACAAATTTTGACAGTTCATTTATAAAGTTTACACAATTATAAGTTTATACGGTTTACATTGCATTTATAAGCTTTGATGAATACCCTTAGTAGTTTTGACCTTCATCAAATTTGATAGTCGTTTGACATGTGCTGTGGACCGTGATTGATAAACAAAGTGAAAGAACAAGTTCCCGATAATTTAAATAAAAAGAAGAAATGAGCAAGAAAAGAAAATAATTCGACTTCATTTTAGAACTAATAAATTGTTTCAAAAATCTCCAAAACCTTTTTGTGGTGATACAACTTCAACAAAAACTGAAATTTTATGGGTTTTTTGACGTGTGTAAGTCAAGCCATCTAATTACACAGACATATCTGTGCACAATAATTTAAATAAAAACACATAATTGAACAAATAAAAAGTATACGACGAAGTATTAGTATTAACAAATGAATACAAAGCTTTCTTAAGCTTCTCTTCAACTTCATCCAAAACGAAAAACTGAAATTTGATGGGTTTTTTGAAGTGTGTATGTTAAACCATCTAATTACACAGAAGACAGTTTGATCAAACAATGTGACCATGTAAGGTCCATATAAGGCATCAACACACATGTGCGATTCTGACGGTGCGAATCTGTTCCGAAAAAATTACAGCAATGCCGCAACTATTTATTGGAACATTCACAGCTCTTCATTTCGTCGTGCCGAAATTGCAGACCTACGCGTTGGGAAACGAAAAAGGTTAATAGGCGGGTTCCCTATAATTTAAACAAAAATTAACTTAAGAAAACAAAACATCTTGATTGTTCAAAAGCAAAGAATTTGATGAAGATTGTTTTTTGTTTGTTTATAAGATGCCATTTTTCACTGCGATAGCATCGCACAGATGTGTGCGTAATTGTGTTTTCGAAGTGGTAAATTCTGTAGCATCAGAAACGGTGCGGAGGTCGAGGTGAACTCGAGCCGGCAAAAAAACAATATTGTGAAATTTATTAAGGGCAGCAGTCTACCGGATATCCGATCGGATATCCGAATCCGGCTGTTATTTTTTACAGGATATCCGGAATCCGGTTATCCGGCAAAATCTATATCCGGCACATCCCTAGTAAAAACCTTCTCCTGACAATAACGAACGACGAAAAAAAATTGTAGCCAAATCGGCCCAACCGTTCTCAATTGATGAATTACTATACAATTTTCATACCATACGGTTTACATTGCATTTATAAGCTTTGATGAATACCCTTAGTAGTTTTGACCTTCATCAAATTTGATAGTCGTTTGACATGTGCTGTGGACCGTGATTGATAAACAAAGTGAAAGAACAAGTTCCCGATAATTTAAATAAAAAGAAGAAATGAGCAAGAAAAGAAAATAATTCGACTTCATTTTAGAACTAATAAATTGTTTCAAAAATCTCCAAAACCTTTTTGTGGTGATACAACTTCAACAAAAACTGAAATTTTATGGGTTTTTTGACGTGTGTAAGTCAAGCCATCTAATTACACAGACATATCTGTGCATAATAATTTAAATAAAAACACATAATTGAACAAAGAAAAAGTTTACGACTAAGTATTAGTATTAACAAATGAATACAAAGCTTTCTTAAGCTTCTCTTCAACTTCATCCAAAACGAAAAACTGAAATTTGATGTGTTTTTTGAAGCGTGTATGTTAAACCATCTAATTACACAGAAGACAGTTTGATCAAACAATGTGACCATGTAATGTCCATATAAGGCATCAACACACATGTGCGATTCTGACGGTGCGAATCTGTTCCGAAAAAATTACAGCAATGCCGCAACTATTTATTGGAACATTCACAGCTCTTCATTTCGTCGTGCCGAAATTGCAGACCTACGCGTTCGGAAACGAAAAAGGTTAATAGGCGGGTTCCCTATAATTTAAACAAAAATTAACTTAAGAAAACAAAACATTTTGATTGTTCAAAAGCAAAGAATTTGATGAAGATTGTTTTTTGTTTGTTTATAAGATGCCATTTTTCACTTCGATAGCATTGCACAGATGTGTGCGTAATTGTGTTTTCGAAGTGGTAAATTCTGTAGCATCAGAAACGGTGCGGAGGTCGAGGTGAACTCGAGCCGGCAAAAAAATAATATTGTGAAATTTATTAAGGGCAGCAGTCTACCGGATATCCGATCGGATATCCGAATACGGCTGTTATATTTTACAGGATATCCGGAATCCGGTTATCCGGCAAAATCTATATCCGGCACATCCCTAGTAAAAACCTTCTCCTGACAATAACGAACGACGAAAAAAAATTGTAGCCAAATCGGCCCAACCGTTCTCAATTGATGAATTACTATACAATTTTCATACCATTTTTACATATATAGATAAGGAACAGCTGTTCGTAAACGGCGGTTTCCGACTGAATTTCAGTTTTTTTGCAAAAGTATACATACATATGTATCTTTTCCTGTCATAAGTATACCGATGGCCTCGATGGACACAATTCAAAATTCAAAAAAATAAAAACTCGTACTATTGTTAAGTGGTTCATGTCCTTAATTGTTGTCTTATTCTTGTATAATCTCTACTACTTACTTTATTTAGGATTAGACACGGGTTAGTTAAGGATTAGAGACATGAGTCTCTTAACGGTAATATAGGGTTTGATTTTTTGAATTTTGAGTTGTGTCGGTATTGCAGAGGACCATCGATATGTGAATTCATATATTTCGATAATGAAATAAATTCGAGCATAAATACGATTTTCAGTTACATTTACATATGTAACTCAATCTCAGCGCCGCCTGGCGGAAATTTTTTTTCGAAAGAATTCGTTTATCTGTCATCAATACGTATTTTAAATCTGAGGATAATCGGACCATGAACACGATTTTTAGTAATAACTCGACTCCAACGCCACCTGTCAATACATATCTCAAATAAGAGGCGAATCGGACCGCAAATACCGATTTTACTAATAACTCGACTCCAACGCCACCTAGCGGTTGGTTTAATAGTCACTATTCGGAGGGTAGACAAATTCAAAAAACAAATTTCATAAAAATCGGTCCAGCCGTTCTTGAGTTATAAAAGGTGTAACTAACACGACTTCGTTTTACATATATAGATTTTTCAAGCTTCGATAAAATACTAAATTCAAAATTTTCACGTTATTCTGGATTTTTCCGAGTTTTTCACTTAGATTTTTTTATTTTTCCATTCGAAAGCCATTCCGAAGGAATTGTACAAAAAATTCCATACAAAGAAATTAATTTTAGATTTTTCTGATTTCCCCACTTTTCCGGACGGTTTTCCCAAAATTTTCTTTCGTAAAAACCTTCTCCTGGCAATTACGAACAACCGTTCTCAATTGATGAATTACTATACATTTTTCACATCATTTTTATATATATAGATAAAGCTGTTCGTAAACGGCGGTTTCCGAATGAATTTTAGTTCTTTTGCAAAAGTATACATACATAGTTACATATACATATGCAACTCAATTTCAGCGCCAGCTGGCGGCAAATTTTTTCGATAGAATTCTTTTTCTTGTTATCAGTACATATTTTAAATCTGAGGATAATCGGACCATAAACACGATTTTTAGTAATAACTCGACTCCATCGCCACCTGGCGTCTCTTTTTTTTGCAATGGTGTTGTTTTTCTATTGTCAATACATATCTCAAATATGAGGCGAATCGGACCTAAAATACGGGTTTTACTAATAACTCGACTCCAGCCCCACCTAGCGGTTGTTTTAGTAGTTATTCTGCTATTCGGAAGGTAGACAAATTCAAAAAACAAATATCATAAAAATCGGTCCAGCCGTTCTTGAGTTCTCAATGGTGTAACTAACACGACTTTGTTTTTGTTTTATATATATAGATATTTAATGAAGAAATAAATTTTCTTAATGTTATTACATTTTTATTCAGCACACATCGCAGAATTCTTATGATTTTTACTATATAAATTCTTTAAATTTGAACAATTTAAATCATATAAATTATATAAAATAATATCCTATCCGAATAAACGTTGAATCCATTTGATTTTCTCCAATTCTTTAGCATAGAATATGTAATTTTTTCTTTTAATTAATGTATGGATATATTCAATAAGTCATTAAAGTCGAATCACTATCTTCCCATTTTAATCCATGATGATTATGATATAACCAGTTATTAGTTGNAACCAGTTATTGGTTGTTTTATCCTGTATCGTTAACTTAGATTCTTCAAAAGGAGGTTGAATAAGAAACGTTTTTATATATTAGACAGCTGCATGAATTTAGTGGTTGGCATTTATGAGACAGTCGTTTGCGCTCCACACTGTTTGGTCATTCATTCCTTAGCAAGCAAGATGAATGAATGCGTGTGCAGAGAATAGTGAGTACTGCTTTCTTGGAGCAACAAGTAATTTTTAGCAAAAAACCAAAAACGGCTTCAATTCTCATAAAAATATATATATATATATATTTGTTATTTTATGGCCTTATAGCAATTATATTCAACAATTTTTATTGAGCTCAAGGCCGTTTTTAATGAAAAACTTATTGTGGAAAAGCATCAATAATTTGAAAAAATGGTAGAAGTGATAGCTATACATATGTAAATGCATGTGTGTGCTCCTTTCTATTAATATCGTTGAATTATTTTAAAAAAAATTTTATTCAGACAGGACTAAAAAGTAGAAAATAAATAATATAAAAAAAAACTTTTTAATATACAACGCTTTTATAAATGGACTAAAAAGTAGAAAATAATATTTCTCAGTCCCATAGAATTTGTTTTGATAACTTTTGATTTT